TTTTGCTCTTTTCATCATTCTTTCCTCTTCCTAACATTCCTAAAATCCCTTTTTTAAAAATTATTTCCTCTCAGAGAACTTCCTATTCTTTTGAAGAAAGATTTATCAACAACAAATTATCTTAGTTTTCCTTTATCTGAGATGTTTTGACTTCCTCTTCTTTCCTGAAAGATATCTTAGCTGGACATAGAATTCTAGGTTGGCTTCAACACGCTTCTGTTCTTTCAGCACATGAGCAGTACACTTCCTCTCGCATCCATGGTAAGAATCTTTCCTAATTCTTTTGTTCCTTTAAGTAAGCTGTCAGTTTCCTCTTACTGATAATCAAGTGTTTCTTCTCTGTCTTCGGTTTTCAGAAGTTTGACTTATATGTCTTCAGGCCTATCTCTCTGGCGTTAAATTATTTTCAGTTTTCCCAGATTCTTAAGTCTGCAGATTTATATGTTTAGCCAAATCTGGGAAATATTTAGCCATTATTTCTTCAAATACTTTTCCAGACATATCCTCTTTCTCCTCTCCTTTCAGGAATCCCTCAGGGACAGAAATGTTAAATTTTTTGTTGGAGCCCCACAGGTCTCTGAGGGTCTGTTTAATTTTTTTTTAATTCTATTTTTTCTCCATTAAGATTAAATTTCTATTGCTCTATGATCAGGTTCACTGATTCTTTCTTGTCTTCTCCATTCTACTGTTGAGTCTATCCACTGAGATTTATGTCTTGATTATGGTATTTTTTGGTTTTAAAACTTCTATTTGATTTTTCTTTATATCTTCTGTTTTCTGGGTGAGACCTTCTATTTTTCATTTATTTCAAGCATGCCCCTAACTGCTCAATGAAGCATTTTTATGATGGCTACTTTAAAATCCTTGTCAAAATTCTAACATCTGTATCATTGTCTCTTGATTGCCTCTTCTTATTCAAATTGAGATTTTCCTGGTTCTTGGCATGACGAATATTTTCAATTAAAATCTGAATATTTTGAGTATAGTGTCATGAGACTCCAGTTCTAATTTAAATCTTCTGTTACTTTTTAAAAAATATTTACTTATTTATTTATGTGAAAGGCAGAGTTACAGAAAGGCAGAGGCAAAGAGAAAGAGAGAGAGCGAAGGGTCTTCCATCTGCTGCTTCACTCCCAAAATGGCCACAGTGGCTGGAGCTGTGCCAATCCAAAGCCAGGAGCCGGGAGCTTCTTCCGGGCCTTCCACATGGGTGTAGTGGCTTTCTCAGGCCACAGCAGAGAGCTGAATCGAAAGTGGAGCAGCCAGGACTCGAACCGGCACCCATATGAGATGCTAGCAATGCAGGCAGCAGCTTCACCTGCTACACCACAGCACTGGCCCCTAAATCTTCTGTTATTGTAACAAGCCTCCTCTGAAGATCAACTCATTACGGCTAAAAGTAGTGCTGGTAGAATTCCCCCATGTGGTGTCCAGTGATGTTGCAGTGGGCAGGGAGGCCTCATCACCTCATAGTGGATATGAAAGCCCCGATCTCTATTTGGCCTTCTCCAATACCACTCTGGCAGGAAGATTGGGCACCTCCCTGTATCCTAGCTAGGGAGAAAATCTAGGCTCTCCACTCGGACTTTGCTGCCACGTACAGGGTAAGGACACATTTCTGTAATGTATGGCTACAGTACAGCAGCTATAGCATGCTGGCACTACAGGTGGCAGCTTTACCCACTATGCCACAGTGCCAGTCCCAAAATATATCTTTTCAAAATAATAATAACTGGACTCCCGCTACCCCGTGGAAGCCCTGGATTGGGTTCCTGGCTTCTGGCGCTGGGTCCCCACTATTGTGGCTATTATTTATTATTATAAATATTATTTATTTATTTATTATTATAAATAAATAATCTTCCTCTTTCATACTATTTCCAAAGTATTTTCTAAAATTTTTTAGTTATGACACTGTTCTTTTATATCCTGTATCATTTTCTTATTGTAGTTTGTTCTGAAATACTGAATCATTTTTATTAGTTTCATGAGAATATTTTTCTTTTTTCTTTTCATGAGCATATTTTTCTATTTTTAATGTTTCCCCATACAAAGCAGTTTATTCTCCTTCTTCTTTCTTATAATAACTTTCTGTGCGATTTGGCCTTGATGTTCTGTTACTAATTTTAAATAAACTTACTTTTCCTGAACTTTTACAGGGGAGGTTTGGCATAGGATACTGTTTCTAATTTTTCAGCTCTCCTATTCACTCTTTAGCTGTAGTACAGTGCTCAACCAGACAGCAGTGTATTTGTTAAGATCCCCTGGCTATGTCCCCTTCCAACTGTTATCTCAACTTCCTTCTACTTTGCCTCTATTGTTCCTTTTTACCCTGCTCAATTTGAATTCCATTCCCAGCAGTTTCTCCTCAGTGTGGAACTTCCTCCTGCAAGGCAACTTTGGCTGGTTTGTTCTGGGAGTAAATAAGAGACAAACTGCTCTAGCCCTTTCAGATCCTACTACAGACTTTCTAGGCCACCCCAGTGCTTCTAGAATGGGTGAGGCTCTTTCCAGTTCCAGCTGTTGTTCTGAAGTTGGTTTACTGAGCTTCTGAGTATCTTTTAGCAGCATTGGACCCCTCTGCTCACTTCTACAGAGGCTTATACCACACAGGTAGTATGGCTACCAATGTTTGGTCCCAGTCACTGGCACAAATATCGTCTGACCAAGTTTTGTTACAGATATTACTCATCCAGTTTTAACTGTGACATTCTAGTTCCATATGTTCTAGTGACCCTATTTGGGGGGATTCAAAAACTATGCCACCACTACAGTACTAATAAAAATCCTTTAATGAATAGATGTTGTTTTTTTTTGACATCGTCATTAACAGAAAATGCCTAGAAAAAGCTTCCAGGTCACAAAGTTAGTAGGCATTCATAAATTTCTTCAAAAGTCAATCTTCATAGCTAATTCTATTATGACTACATATATTACATATATTCTCCTTTTAGAATGAACAGCAGGGAGCTTGTCCTGTGGCACAGTGGGCTAATCCTCCACCTGCAGCACCGGCATCCCATATGGGCACCGGTTCTAGTCCTGGCTGCTCCTCTTCCAGTCCAGCTCTCTGCTATGGCCTGGGAAAACAGTAGAAGATGGCCCAAGTGCTTGGTCCCCTGCACCTGCATGGGAGACCTGGAGGAACTCCTGGCTCCTGGCCTCAGATGGGTGCAGCTCCAGCCGTTGTGGCCATTTGGGGAGTGAACCAGCGGAAGGAAGACCTCTGTCTCTCTGCCTCTCCCTCTCTCTGTAACTCTACCTCTCAAATAGGTAAATAAAATCTTAAAAAAAAAAGAATGAACTGCATGGAATCAGCAAATAGGCCTTGAACCCTGGGAAGTATCAGACAATGATATAACTTCCTTGAGCAAACTATAAATTCAATCCATTTGAACTATGGATGGAGGGGCAGCACTGTGGCACAGTAGGCTTTGCCTCCGTCTGTGGTGCTGGCATCCCATGTGGGTGCAGGTTCGTGTCCTGGCTGCTCCTCTTCCAATCCAGCTCTCTGCCTATGGTCTGGGAAAGCAGTAGAAGATGATCCAAGTGATTGAGTACCTGCACCTTTGTGGGAGACCGGGAAAAAATCTCCTGGCCCCCGGCTTCAGAGCAGCTTGGCTCTGGCAGCTGTGGCCATTTAGAGAGTGAATCAGTGGATGCAAGAACTCTCTCTCTCTGTCTCTCCCTCTGTCTGTCTATAACTCTGCCTCTCAAATAAATAAAAAATAAAGAGAAGTAGGGGCAGATGTTTGGTGAAGCAGTTAATCTGCTGCTTAGTATGCTCGCATCTGATACTTGAGTGCCTGGGTCCCAGTCCCAGCTCCACTCTATTCCAGCTTCCTGCTCATGTGCACCCAAAGAGGCAGAAAATGATCAAGTAGCTGTGTCTCTGCCACCCATGTGTGTGAGACCTAGACTGAGTTCCTGGCTGCAGCCTGGACCAGTCCTGGTCACAGACTTCTCAAAAAATACAACCAGCAGATGGGAGACCTTTCCTTGTCTTCCTTTGTCTCCCTCTATGTTTTTCTGCCTTACAGATAACAAAAATATATATAAATTGGTACATGGCATTGTGGTGCACTGGTTAAGGCACCACTTTGTAACACTGGCATCCCACATCAGAGTGCTGGTTTGAGAGCCAGCTGCTTTGCTTCTGATTCAGCTTCTTCCTAATGCATGCGGGATAGCAGTAGATGATGATTCAAATACCTGAGTCCCTACCAGCCACATGGAGACCCAAATGGAGTCCCTAGCACCTGGCTTTGGCCTTGTCCAGCCCTGGCTGTTACAAGCATTTGGGGAATGAACCAGCTGAACGAAGAGTTTGCTCGTGCACGTGTGCTCTGTGTGTGTTATGTCTGCTATTCTGTCTTTCAAATGAATAAATTTTTTAAAAAAACATAATGGGGGGGGGGGGCCAGTGTAGTAGTATAGCAGGTAAAAATCACTTCCTACAATGCCGACATCCTATATGGGTGCTGGTTCATGTCCTGGCTGTTCCTCTTCCAATCCAGCTCCCTGCTAATGGCCTGGGCAAAAAACAGCAGTGAATGGTCCAAGTGATTGGGCCCCTGCTAACCATGTCAGAGACCCAGATGAAGTTCCTGACTCCTGGTGTTGTCCTGGCAGCTACTTGGAGAGTGAACCAGAGGATGGGAGATCTGTCCTTCTCTCTGTAATTCTCACTTTCAAATAAATAAATCAATCTTAAAAAGATAATGTGATCCTCTATTTATAATAGAATCTACTATATGATTATAAAACAATATATCAGAGATAGTATTTGTAAAGATAAATTATTACTTATCATGATGTTGAATTCTTCATAGCTCTCAAGTTCATAAACTCAGTGTATGTAAAAAAAATCTGGAATACTACCAAAATATTAATAGAGATTTTCCTCAGCAGACTTGTTGATGATTTATTTTCTCTTGTTTATCTGTACTTTATATATTTTAAAAGTGAAGAACTTTGTAAAAATGTTTAAAACTACTTACGCTAGAACCATATTGTAATCTGAGTGGTTGAACATATATCCTCCAACAACCCACATTATATTTCCATTGACCACAGCTTTATGAGACGCTCTGGGGAGCTTTAAGTTAGAATATTCCTCTTGAGTCCAAAATGAATGGTTAGCTGGTACAGGAATTGAACATCCAGGACCTAATAAAAATAGTAAATTAGTTTCACAAAATGTAGCTTTAAACTTACTTTATTTCAAGTTTTAATCATCTACAAATATTTAAAGAACACTTTGGTCTTTCCTTTAGCATCTAAATAAACATCTTAAATTTCTGCTTTTAATTTACTCAGCACACTGACTAGTGGCAAACCTTAATAAAATTCAAAACAACGTATGTCTTAATGACGACTTGCTCACATCCAGGTTAAGTATTTTTTAACAATAAAATACTTGCTTAAACTTGCTTAATTTCTCAAATAAATTAGTAATTCAAATGAAAAACTTTAGAGCTAAAATGTAATGACTAGACCCAGGAATCATAATACAAACTACTCAAAGCTAACAAGTTAAGCATTTAAACAAATACATTTATTTTTAAAATAAAAATATTCTGAGGAAGCAGTAAGCATATAAAGAAAATCACTGTCATCACCCATGCCTTTTAGAATTTCTTAGAGCTTCTTTAATAATAACTTATTTCTATAGATAATACCATTAGGTAATTGCTTTAAAATTATAACATATAACCTATCCCAATTTTCTCTGAATTTAGAGACCATTTCTAACTAAATACCTGTATTGTAAGCTCCTGTTCCATCTCCCAGCTTGGTGCTCTATGTTCTCTTAAGGCTAAGACCAAGTTTTCCAACTTTCATGAATGGGCTGCAAAGGATATCAAACCCCTCCACAATTCCAAAGAGACAAACACCCACAAACACATGTGTGAAATGGAAAGATATCTAAGAAGCTGGAGAAAGCGGTATAAAGGCTTCCTTGCCATCTGCTATAGGTTTGCTATAAATCATACAAATGATAAGAACAAGTCCATCTACAGCTTATTAAGTTGGGAAAACTCTAAAGACTGAAAGAAAAGTGAACATGCAAAAAGTTCCTACCCTGCCACCCTGAGAAGCAGGAGCATCCTCTGTCATCGCTTGAATTGCAGATGCCTCGCTGAGGGAAACCACAGTCATCTGGACAGTGGGGAATGTCACACGATTCACCTTTCCAGTTTTCAGAGCACTCACACTCAACACTGTTGCTGACATTACTGATCCTACATTCTCCTCGGCCTGAGCAGTTATTCGGACACATGTCAAAACTACAAAGACAGTGGAAAAATTAAGTCAACACAAAGCAATACTTCGATTAATTTAGCAGGACTTTCTCCTACACAAGGTTCGAGAATCTCAGACACTCCACTTCATTCACAAGGAAAACTGCAGTACTTACCACTCAGCCCAAATGGGGTCAACTCAACACTGCATAGCTAGAGCCCGAGGTACAAATAATGAAACCAAGTCAACCCTGCTGGATTCTCATAATAAAAGGACAAGAATAAACTCATAAAGAAATTACAGGGAGAGAGACTTAGCTCCTCCAGGGTATGTTATTTTCCTATAGCTCCTGATAGCCTATCAGGAATGAGTGCTAGAAAACTGCTGACTTCATGCTTAAAAATCTGGGGACAAAAAAGGGGATAAATGGACTTTTAAGATACTTTCAGAGCATAGATTTCTTCTACTACTGAGTACAGGACAACTACTAAAATTTGTCCAATTGTACTTAGCAAAAGCTCTCAGTATTTTTATTCCATCAGCAGAAAAATGCCCGTTTTCTGGGAGAAGCTCGACTGCAGCAATACTGGGTTGAGACTGTATTCCCACCACTTACTTGAACTATTTATTAACCTTTTTGTGCCATAATTTTTGAGCAGAAAAACAGTACTCACACATCTCTGAATTTTAAAGCAAACTTAAATGAAAAAAAATCCATGCAAATTGTTTAGTTCAATGCCTAGCACATGGTAAGTCTTCAATATATGTTAATTATTATTATTGTTAAATCAAAATGTATATTTTTAAACAAAATCACAATATTAGATTTAAATATCTTACTTGTAAGTGATATTAAATCCAGTCAAATTATAAGCAGCATCACTAAAAAAATGCAGCAGGGCAAAACCTGATGTGGCAACAACCTCGGGGACAGTCTCATTGCCATCTCTCTCAGGAACAATGAGGCCACTGGAATGAAAAGACATTTCTTAAAGGGGGAAGCACAATCACACACATGTCAAACTGTGGCAGATGCAAACTCAACACTGAAATCCATTCTTATCACTTAAGAAAACACATCCAGGAAGAGGGGCAAATTCCTGTGACCAAATGCACACAGCTACTCTTAGTTCTGGATCCAGCTGGTGCTGGATCCTCTGAGAAACAGATCAAATCTTCTGCTATTATTATTCTGGGTTGTATTTTTCATGAGACTTGACATCAATGGTTCTATTCCTTTATTTTATAAAACTTCTTAGAATGTTCCTCTGGAAAACTCAGTAAACTTAGTAAACATCTACAATCATACAAAGTAACTTTATGAATTGATTAATACCAGATATACAGTATTGAAAGACATGGAAATTTTTATAAAAATATAAAACATCCATTAATATAAAAATACAAACAAGGCTAAGCAAGCACCCATGGTTCCAACATTGTTAGCACTGTGATATATTTTATTTGCCAATTATTTTTTTTTTTTTTTGACAGGCAGAGTTAGACAGTGAGAGAGAGAGAGACAGAGAGAAAGGTCTTCCTTTTTCTGTTGGGTCACCCCTCAAATGGCTGCTACGGCCAGCACGCTGCGGCTGGTGCGCTGTGCCGATCCAAAGCCAGGATTCAGGTGCTTCCTCCTGGTCTCCCACGCAGGTGCAAGGCCCAAGCACTTGGGCCATCCTCCACTGCCTTCCCAGGCCACAGCAGAGAGTTGGACTGGAAGAGGAGCAACCGGGACAGAATCCGGCACCCCAACCAGGACTAGAACCTGGGGTGCCGGCACCGCAGATGGAGGATTAGCCAAGTGAGCCACGGCGCTGGCCTGCCAATTATATTTTATCTTCTATGTTATAAATAACACACCAACAGCATTTCCTATGTCACTCAAAGCAACCCAGGCTTTCCCTAGGACTTCACTCAGAGCCCAGCACATAAGAGATTCTAAGTAAGTAGTTGTTGGATCCTTGGTGAGGGAATTACTGAGCCAGAGGGTCTAAATGGTGGCTTTGAGACTCTTGATACATCATACTAACGTGCTTTCCAGAAGAAAAATGCCAACCTGAAATCCTGTCAGTACAGAATGAAGGGGTCCATGCCATCTCACCCTGCCAACCTAGTTTTCCTAACTTAAAAAGCGATTTTTTAAAAACTGTGGTTTTGAGTTCTTTTATACTCCTGAGGCTAATCATTTTTCCTATGTTTATTTTGCCATTTGCCTATTCAAATATTTTATCATAAGTTAAATTTTAATATAACCAACACATTAATTTATAATATCAGTTAACCAAGTTTTAAAAAAAAACTAAGAGCTTGCCTATGTACATATATAAGTACTTAAAAAAGTTCATGGAGGGGCTGGCATTGTGGCATGGCAGGTTAGGCTGCCACCTGTGACACTGCCATCACATATGGGCACTGATATCCCATATGGGTGCCAGTTCAAGTCCTGATTGCTCCACATTTGATTTAGCTTTCTGCTGGTGCACCTGGGAAGGCAGTGGAGGATGGGCCAGTGGATGAAGGATCTCTTGATCTCTCTCTCTCCTCTCCTCTTTCTCCCTCTCTCTCTCTCTCCCCTCTTCTCTGTAACTCTGCCCTTCAAATAAATAATAAGTAAATCTTTAAAAAAAAGTTCATAGAAAACTGAATGAAAAGATAAAAATCATGCAGTTTTTTCACAATATATATTTCCCATAAACTTTTTGAAGATCCTTTGGACTTTGGTTTTTCTTAAAAGTCACTGATTAGAACAATTAGAGCCTTCTACTTGTGTTGCTGCTGCTGATCCACATGTCTGCTCATCAAATACACAGTCCAGGTGAAACAGAGTTAGGTACAAGGGCTTGGCTCTTGTTCCCACAAGGGAAACTACTGTCAAGCTGAAGAATTCAAAGTGCCTGGCACATAACAGGGGCACCATGAATTACGACTAACAAACACAGTAATAAGTAAATACCCAACCTGTACTATCATGCTAACATCATACTTGGTGTTTGTATTTGTGTAAAGTTTGGAGTGCTTTGTGTTACAATATAAGATACATTCCAAATGCTGTCATGAAGATATGCACAACCAACAAGCCATTTTAAATGCTTATCACGATCCATCCATTAGCCTGCTCTTTGGCTCTGTACATGAAACTTTAAAATGCAGAAAATAGCTGTAGTTTTCAGTTCAAAGACACGTTGGAGAAGTACAAGGGCACATCAGTCCCTAATCTCCTGTCCTTCGACTACTCACATATTGCTTACTCCCTGTACTTCCCTGACCCACGTGAAACATCAATCAAACTGGCTCCATATGAGAACACAAAAAAATATTTGTTAAACAGGGCAAGTGTGTGGCACAGCAGATAAAAAATGCCACCTGGGACACCTGCATCAATATTAGAGTACTTGGGTTCAAGACCTGGCTTTGCTTCCAGATCCAGCTTCCTGCTAATGTGACCTGCAGGAGGAAGCAGGTGATGGAAAGTACCTGGGCCCCTGCTACCTACAGTATGATAGACCTGGGTTGGGTTTCTTGCTCCTGGTTTCAGGTGGGCCCAGCCCCAGCTGCTGTGAGCTTTTTGGAAACGGCTGGAAGATCTCTTTCTGTTTATCAGTCTCTGGCTCTCTTTGCCTCAAATAAATAAAAATTTTAAAAATGTATTTGTTGAACTTATTTCTTTTTAAAATCAAGCATGTAAAATTTTTGATGAAAGAAATTTAGAGTCAGTTGCACTGACAACTATGGTTCCCTAAGAATACATGTATTTTTTAAAATATTTATTTATTTATTTGAAAGGCAGAGTTACAGAATGAGAGAATGAGAGACAGAGATCTTCTATCTGCTGGTTCACCCCTCAAAGGGCCACAAAGGCCAGGACTGGGCCAGAATGAAGCCAAGAGCCAGGAGTTTTCTCCAGGTCTCCCACTTGGGTACTGGGGTCCAAGCACTGGGGCCATCCCAAATTCCTGCTTTTCCCAGGAACACTAGCAGGGAGCTGGATTGGAAGTGGAGCAGTTAGGACTCAAACATGAGTCCATATGCTTTACTGGCTATACCACAGCACCAGCCCTGAGTAAAAGTATTTTTGAAAAACATATTTTAAAATCTTCTACCACGCAAAAAGGAAAAAAAAAAAAACTGAGATAATTCTGAATTCCCTTGTGGCCAGAAACATAATAAAAACAACTACTTACTGTTAATAAAAACTAAAATACTGAAACAATTCAGAGCATACCGTATATGTGGTATTAAATTACTTTGCAAAATGTACTTGCTGAAAAAAATAATAATACACAACCGGTATGTTCCTCATCCTCTATAGATAATAGTTATTGTTTATTTCATGAGTATTCTTCCAAATGGTTTCCATGACTCCTAATATATACATAGAAACACACTAACACACACACTACACCCACCCCTATATTGGAATTCAACAAAATCCTCTTAAAATCCTATGCAATGAGGTATACACAAGGAACAAGACTGATACGGTTCCTGATTTAAATTTTTCACAGAAAAATTATTTTATTATTAATAAAATATTTTGAAAATATAAACTTACCACCACAGTGAGGAGCAGGTAAACTAATAGATCAGGAAACTGAGAAGAGAGGTCAAGTACTGTGCCTGCACACTTATGCAGGAGCTATGAAAACCATGTCTGGATTAGTACCCAAGTGACAGGACTCCAGAACTAGTACTCTTTCCATGAAATAAATGTGTTAAGTGATAATAAAGGTGAATCCAGTAAGAATGCAATTGAGAAGATCTATTTAAATCTAGAAATCAAATAATGACTAACCAGTACTTATATGACTAAGCTTACCTAAAGGCAGCAATTAGTGGTGCATAAATTGAGTCTCCATCATAAACATACAAATGGTCCCAACTACACTCTGTAGCAAAATGATTAAAACGAAGTCTCATTATTCTATTGGGCCTGAAAAGAACAAAATAAGATAACTTAATCACAATGATTAAATATTTGAGAAAAAAGAATCTTTTTAAGAATTCACAGGGAAAAAAGACACTAATAATACAGAAACAGTATTTTTTCATTTGCCAAAGACTTATTTAGTTCTTACTATGTGTAAGGGACCACTGAACAAGCAATGGGAAGCAAAACAGATGTGGTCCATGACTTCCTAGACTTTACATCCACTCAGCAGTCATTCTCTAACAGTCTCTGAAAAAACCCTTTAGCCCTTCTACTTCTGCACTTCCTTCTTCAATTTAAGATTCCACACCACGTCATTTCACAGACATACCTGCCAATTCTTTAAACTTGCATGTACCTCCGCCTTTTCTTGGCACTGTCTGAAAAAGTCCTGGTCTAGAGGAAACCATTTATCTGCAGTGACTTAGATTACATCCAAAGAAAACTAAGCTAAACTTTAGAGTCATACAACTGAGCACACTGGTCCCAGTATTGGTCTCTGTTCACCAACTTCAAATGGCACTTCCATTCTGCCAGCAGTCCTATCACTAACTAGCTAACTAACTAGCTAGCTAGCTTTCTCTCTCTCTCTCTTTCTCTCTCTCTCTCTCTCTCTCTCTCCCTCCCTCCCTCCCTCCCTCCCTCTCCCTCTCCTCCAGCCCCCTCCATAATTGCTACTAAATCTCAATGACTATTTCAAACTATCCAGTCCTACCTCCCTGCTTATGCTCAGCACCTAGGTAAAACTTATGAAATTTCCATTTTATGAAATAGATAAACCTACCTACTTGGGTCCCTTAATCTCTTAAATATTTAACATCTCCCTCTAATCTGGAACTTTCCTGTCCACATTTAAACCTGCTTAAGATTCACATATTTTACCAAACAAGAAAACAAAAACTTTGGTGCTGACACACACTGAAGAGATTTGCGAAATGTAAAACCACAATACTCTTATCATTAAGATAAGTTTTAAAAAAATATAAGGGTTTTGTCATAAAATGTCATTTGTGCTAATGTGTAGAGGGCTTGTAATTACTGTTATTAAATGAGTTAATAAATAATATTTCTTGTTCTTAATTTTTAATGTTATAAACATATATATAAACCACATAAATGAAAGAAAGTTATTTGGAACCTCAAAATTTAAGACGATGAAAAAGTCTGAGACCAAAAAATTTAAGAACTACTGCTTTAAAGGTCTGCCATGGATAGAAGCAGAAAAAGAAAGCAACAGCTAGAGACACACAGGGGTTGCAGATCAGGCAGGAACCACTTAGGCAGTAATAGTTACTTTGATTTTCCTGTCCACAATAAAAATAGGAACTTAGAAAAATAATACAATGCTTTAAGCAAAACATTAAGAATACTTAAGTTTCCTAACTATTACAGTAGAAAATATAAAAATTTCCATGACATACAATTTATTTTCAGCATTAACTCAACATGAAATGTTTTTTAAAAAATTCACAAGCCTATGAAAAGTAAGAAAATCAAAATAATTTATCACATAAAACTTATAAAATAAAAATTTTTAAATACTTTATGAATGCTAATTTTTCTTATAGGAAAACTGATGCCACACTGAGTTCCAGCATGAAAAAAATAGTAAGTCAGTCATTACTACTTACTGTCCTTCAATGAGCCACGTGCACTTCGTTTTATATTTATAATTTCCAGGCCCATCTGTTACAAACCCAGAAGATCCAGTTAATCTGTAATTTAAATGAAAAAAGAAAAAACTTAAGCCCATCAGCATTTCATATATTAATATCATATATTAATCTTTTTCAATTCCCAATAATTAACAGTGGATACATTAATGTATAGAATACCAGCGGAAAATGACTGAGTAGTTATATTCAGGTTGAACCAATTTAGATGAAACAAAGAGTATATAAAAATATTAAAACCAATGGGTATGAACCAAAATACCTACTAGATATTTCTGAGATGGGAAAGACTTGCTTTATATCTTGAGAATAGCCAAAGGAATTTATTTATAAAATGAGTGCATTTATGAAAAATAAAATCAGAGTCACAGCTTCAAGCAAAGCACATTTAAAATAGGAACACTGGGGGCTGGCGCTGTGGTGCAGCGGTTAAAGTCATGACCTGCAGCGTTGGCATCACAAATGGATGCCAGTTCTAGTCCTGGCTGCTCCTCTTCCAATCCAGCTCTCTGCTATGGCCTGGGAAAGCAGTGGAAGATGGTCCAAGTTCTTGGGCCCCTGCACCCGCCTGGGAGACCCAGAGGAAGCTCTTGGCTCCTGGCTTTGGACTGGCGCATTTCTGGCCGTAGTGGCCATTTGGGGAGTGAACCAGCAGATGGAAGATCTCTCTTCCTCTACCTCTCTCTGTAACTCTGTTTTTCAAATAAAAATATTTTTTAAAAATAAAATGGGGGCCAGAGCTGCGGCTCACTTGGCTAATCCTCCATCTGCGGCACCAGCACACCAGGTTCTAGTCCCGATTGGTGCGCCAGATTCTGTCCCAGTTGCTCCTCTTCCAATCCAACTCTCTGCTGTGGCCCGGGAAGGCAGTGGAGGATGGCCCAAGTGCTTGGGCCCTGTATCCGCATGGGAGACTGTCGCTCCCCCTCTTCGTGGAGGAACGACACAGGACCCTGCGCTGTTCTTTCGTCTGCTCAGCCCTCCCCGGGTTTGCTGCTGGTTCTTCCCGGGTTAGCTACTGTCCCTTCCACCTCCGTGGAAGGGCGGTTCCCCCTGGCCACTTTCCCCACTTCCGCAGGGGAGTGGCACACCACCGGCCGGATCTCTCGGGGGCTGCACAGGTGTTCCCCTTAGATGTTCCCCTTAGATGTTCCTGGTGCATGCCGTCTCTCTCCTCCTTTATAATCCTCCTCTGCCAATCCCAACTCGGCTGCCCACACGCCGAGTTCGCTGCTCTCCTCCAATCAGGAGCAAGTCCTACAGTTTATTGGCTGAACTGGAGGCAGCTGTGTAGAAGCTGTTTTCTTCTCTCCCAGCGCCATATTGTGGGAGAGCAGATGCATAGAATAAGTCTTAATTCCAGTAACTTAGTCTAGTCCAAGTTGCTCCCCACAGGAGACTAGGAGGAAGCACCTGGCTCCTGGCTTCAGATCGGCACAGCGCGCCAGCCGCAGCAGCCACTTGGGGGGTGAACCAACGGAAAGGAAGACGTTTCTCTCTGTCTGTCTCTCTCTCTCACTGTCTAAATCTGCCTGTCAAAAATAAATAAATAAAATAAAATAGGAACACTGAAGACAGACTATGAACAAGCACATCAAGTCACACACACAATGGAGCCCTCATGGCTGTGTAGTAGCTGCTTACAAAGCAGCATCCACCATGCCAAGAGCATGCACGCCAGCACCTGTCTTCCACATCTGTGCCAAGCCTGAAGTTTAATAATACTGTTAGGTCTTGCCAATATGGTAGGCATATCCCAGCATTTCATTAATGTTGTCATTGTTACTAACACTGATGGTTGAATATCTTCCCATATATTTTGGCTTTTTGCATTTCCTCTCTTGTAAATTAAGATTCAGTATTCTTTGCCTACTTTGCTACCAAGTTGTCTTTTTCAAATTATTATTTAGGGGCAGGCATCTGGTATAGTAGGTAAGATGTTGCTTGGGATGCCTCCATCCATAACACAGTATCTACTAGGTCCAAGTCCTGGTTCCACTTCTAATTCCAGCTTCCTGTCAATTCACTCTGGGAAGCGGCATGTGATGGCTCAAGGACGTGGGTCTCTGTCACCTACGTGGGAGATCTAGAATGAATTCTGGGCTCCTGCCTTTATCCTGGTCCAGCCACATGGACATTCAGGAGAGTGAATCAACAGATGGAAGATTTCTATATGTCTGCTTCTCTCTCCCTACCCTACCCCTTTTCTTCTCCCTCTCCTTCCCTCTCTTCCTTTCAAATAAAATCATAGTAAGTTTTAAAAAACTAATGTTTAAGAGCTTTTTTTATAGTAAGTATATCTCCCATTTGTATATTAAATGTATTATAAATACAGTTTCCCAGTTTACTTTTTTCTTTATACTTTTGTCTAGTATTTTTTGCTATATAGAAATGTTTAATATTTACGACGCATGCTATTTCCTTCCTCACTGCTGTTTCCATATCATTTTCTTCCCTCTTCCATCAATAATGTCAGTCTCCCTGAAACAGATGCTCTCTTCTGGATCTGCCTCCCTCACTTTCTGAGTCATCTACTGACACCCCTGTGCCACCCCCTCATGCACTGAAGACGTTATCAAACCATTCACTGACTTCCAACCATCTGCATCAGCATCCACCATCCAAAACCCAGTCCCTCCATTTCTTAAGCTCACCATCAACAATCTTTTCCCCTCTCTGCTCTGGCTGCCACTCCTCTGGGTCCTGCCATTACCAAGAACAGCACTACCATCAAATTTTCTACTTTAAGCATCCAACTCCCTGACTACAATCTCTTATCTTTCCAGTTACTTTAGCATGGCTCCCTCCCCTTTTCTAATCAGTCTTCAGCCCCACAGAGATCAGCAATCCACTGAACTATATCACTTATTTACTGTTCAACATCCGTCACACACACAGTTCACTACCTCACTACCTCGTTATGATTCTAAGGTCTATTGCAAGATCACCATACAAATCCTTCTACATCCTTTATCTTTTCTTCTTCTATACTACTTGCCTGATATGAATGTCTCCATGCCTTATCCATCCTATCACAAAAATGTTAGTCTAAACCAATCATTTTCCCCATGCTCTTAGAGTTAAGATCAAGTTTTAATGCAACTGACAGAAAAACAAAACAAAACAGGGGGCGACACTGTGGCATACCGGGTTAAGCTGCTGCATCTCTTATCAGATTACTGGTTCCTAGCTGCTCCTCTTTTGATCTAGCTCCCTGCTAATGTGCCTGGGAAATTAGTGAAAAATGCCTAAGAGCTTGGGCCACCACCACTCACATGAAAGACCTAGAGGGCGTTCCAGGTTCCTGGTTTCAGCTTGGCCCTGCCCCAACCATTGCAGCCATTTGGGGAGTGAACCAAGAGATGGAAGATTTTCCCTGTCACTCTGCCTTTCAAATAAATAAAGTAATAAATCATAAAAAAAGTAATGGCTTAATCAGGTTACAAAATCCTAACAAAAGCATTTCCATGAGGATCAGTTAATTCCTTTTACCACGTTGCTTTACCATTCTCAACATGTGCCTTCTACCTCATAACCCACGATGGCTACTCAAGCTCTGATCAATATACCCGCATTCTACCCAGCAAGAGGCTGCAGAAAAATAAATAAATGAATAAATGAATAAATAAGGAGCATATCTTATCCCTCTAAGTCAAACATGACAATTCAACTTACATCTCATTAACTGAAAATTGGACATATCTGTAGGTAAAAGGAAGCTGAAAAATGTGGCCATTATGCCATACTAGCTGACTTCAAAAAGTTCATGGAAAATATAATTAAAAGATAAGTTTATTACTGTATAAAATAATTTTGAAATCCATAGTTTCTTTCACATTACACATTTCATGAACACTCTGAAGGCCCTGCGTACATCCACTGAAAAATCAGATCCTCTAGTAAAGAGAAGTGTAGAAAGGCTCTGAAGGGCAATCACTAACCTTTATTATGGCACCTAACTGAATGCTTGGAAGTCGTATGGGTAACTTCTAGGAAATACTTTCTCATTCTGAAGAAAGACAGCATGGTAGACAGGGAGATATGCCACCTACACGTCCCTTCAAAGGACTCACTGCCAACTGTAGCAAGGAATGAGGCCATTAGACAACTGTCAGTTCCTTCAGGGGCTGCCTTGTCCTAGATCATGCCCTTCCCAGAGCAGCCCACACCACAAGGAACATAAAAGCCCAGGTTTTTCAATCCAACATGGGACATCTCTGACACACAATCCTTGTGAGAAAGGATAAAATAGGGCTCAAATACTCAGGCCCCTCCCAACCCAACCACATATCCATCTCCAACCACAGGTGGCTCCACCCGCTCCAAACTAATCAGGAACATAGAATATCTAGACCTAATCACAAAAGACACACCTACAGTCCCATTAGGGACTTTCCCAACCCAGTAATGCATGCTCAGAACAGCCCAGTACGACCAATGTATGATCTTCCTGAGCAAGTAGTGGTAAGCAACAACAGTCATTTTGAGCAGGTCATGTATAAAAGGAGCAATAGCACTTGTGCAAAACACCAAGTCAGTTACAAACCAAAGTGCTATGTGCTGAGAGGTTACAGCCTGTCTCCTCAACCTGACAAAAACCCCTGTTCTGGGGTGGGTGCTGTAGCACAGAAGGTTAAGCCCTTGCTTGGATGCCTGCTTTCCAAGTCAGAGTGCCAATTACAGTCCTGGCTCCTCTGCTTCAAGTCCAGTTTCCTGCTAATGCACCTGGGAAGCAGCAGAAGATGGAGGACCTGGGTCCTTGCCATCATCCATGTAAGAGAACTGGATGGAGTTCTTCGCTCCTAGTTTAGGACTACCCTGGCTGTTGCAGGCTCTGGGAGAGTCAACCAGCAAATGGCATCTGTCTGTGTGTGTGTGTGTGTGTGTGTGTCCCTCTCTCACACCCTGCTTGTCAAATAAATAATAAATAAATATTTTTTAAAATTGTTCAACTCTCCCCACCATGTCTCCCTGTGCTCAAGCATAATCCTCCAATAAACCTTGTCTGGGTTTAAAGTTAACAAGTGAGTGAAGAACCTTGA